CATGGGAGGCGTTTGTGAATGCTTTCCAGGAAAAGTTTTTATCTTCAACTGCTAGGGAGAAGCTGAGAGAGCAATTTTGCCAGCTTAGACAGCAGGGCTTGTCAGTGGCCGAGTTTGAGGCTACTTTTACTAGTCTGTCCAGGTTTGCACCTGAGCTGGTGGCGTCCGAGGAACGCCGTTGTTTTGAGTTTGAGCGGAAATTGAGGCGTGGACTCAAGTTGAGGGTTGGAGGGTCCTTTATCCGAGAGTACAGACGTTTGGTTGATGCTGCAGCTCATATGGAGATAATGATGCAGGAAGAGGATGAAGGGCAGAGAGGCTCCAAGAGAAGCCAAGATGGTCAGGGTGACGGCAGGAGACAGAGGGGTTCTAACCCTCAGCAGTCTCAGGGTGGTTTGGCTAGATCAACCTTTCCAGTGCCGAGTGCGGGCTCTGGAAGAGGTAGTCAGGGAGGCTTGACTTGTTTTGCGTGTGTCCAGCTGGGTCACAAGTCTTCGGTTTGCCCGTAGAAGGAAGGGGGTCAGCGAGCTGCTTCTTCTTCAGCTAGACCTCAGGGCCAGAGTCAGGGTAGGGGCCAGCCTTTGTCTTGCTATCAGTGTGATCAGCCTGGGCCCCTGAAGAGGTTTTGCCCACAGTTGAGTGCCACTTCAGGAGCGTCTGGTTCTAGGCAGACGCAGAGTTATCAGCCAGTTCAGTCTGTGCAGGCCTCGAGGGCCAATCCGGGAGCTTCGTCAGCCTAGTCAGTGCAGCAGTCTTTTGCTCCTAGAGGTGAACAGGTAGATCAGGGACTTACAGGGCGCGTGTATGCTGTTACTGCGCAGGATCGTGTACCTGCTCTGTCAGTTGTGAGAGGTACCTTCTTGTTTTGCAACTCGGTTGCTAGCGTATTGATTGATACGGGTGCATCTCATTCTTTTGTATCTACTGCATTTGCATCTGTTTCAAAATTGGAGTTGGCACAGTTAGCATCTCCTATATGTGTAGTATCGCCTGTTGGTGGTGAGTTGATCTTGAAACAAGGTGTTAGAGGTTGTGATATAGAGGTCGCCGACTATAAGCTTCCTTTTCCTATTGTTGTCATGCCCATGAAGGGTTTTGATGTTATTTTGGGTATGGACTAGCTATCGTCATATCGGGCTGTTATTGATTGCTACTGCCAGAGGGGTCACGGTTTGTACCTTGAGCGGGGAGTGTTTCCATTTCTTGGGGGATCGGGTTGGTAGTGTGTTGCCACCGATGTATGATCCGCGAGGGCGGAATAAGCTTAGTGGTCTACTTGCTAGCTTTATGAGTGGTGAGTGTGATGAGACTCAGATTGTATTGCCAAGGGTGGTTTGTGAGTATTCGGATGTTTTTCCCGAGGATCTCGTTAGTTTACCACCCTACCGAGAGATAGAGTTCTCTATTGATTTAGTGCCCAACACAGTGCCGATTTCTATGGCACCTTATCATTTTGCCCCAGCCAAGTTGAGTGAGTTGAAGATTCAGCTCCAGGAATTGCTAGATAAGGGTTTTGTTCGCCCTAGTGTTTCGCCGTGGGGAGCACTGGCCCTCTTTGCTAAAAGGAAAGATGGCGCCTTGAGATTGTGTATAGACTACCGGAAGTTGAATCGGGCTACGGTCAAGAATAAGTACCCTATGCCCCGTATAGATGATTTGTTTGACCAGTTGGAGGGTTCCCGTTGTTTCTCTAAGATAGACTTGAGATCGGGTTGCCACCAGTTGAGGGTCAGGGAGGAGGATATTCCTAAGACGGTATTCCGTACGCGGTATGGCCATTATGAGTTTCTGGTGATGCCATTCGGGCTTACCAATGCACCGACAGTCTTTATAGACTTGATGAACCGGATCTTCAGGGAATTCTTGGATCGATTTGTAGTCATTTTCGTGGACGACATTCTTATCTATTCGCCTTCTGAGGAGGAGCACGAGGAACACTTGAGAGTGGTGCTTAAGTTGCTTAGAGCCCATAAGCTGTATGCCAAGTTTGGGAAATGTGAGTTCTGGCTAGGAGAGGTCAAATTCTTAGGCCATGTGGTATCCGAGGAAGGGGTGTCTGTTGATACATCCAAGGTAGAGGCAGTGCAAGATTGGGCACAGCCTAAGAGTGTGTTTGAGATCTGCAGTTTTCTGGGATTAGCTGGGTATTACCGTCGGTTTATGAAAGATTTCTCCAGGCTAGCATCGCCGTTGACAAGATTGACGCGAAAAGGGGTTAAGTTTGTGTGGAGTGAGACTTGCGAAAAGTCATTCCAAGAGTTGAAGGTTAGATTGACCACCGCTCCGGTTTTGATTATTCCGGAGAGAGGGTTGGGTTATGCAGTTTATTGTGATGCCTCACGAGAGGGTTTGGGTTGTGTGTTGATGCAAGAGGGGAAAGTGGTAGCTTATGGCTCACGTCAGTTGAAAATACACGAGAAGAATTACCCTACACACGACCTAGAGTTAGCAGCAGTGATCTTTGCCTTGAAGATTTGGAGGCACTACCTTTATGGTGAGAGGTTCGAGGTGTTCTCGGACCATAAGAGTTTGAAGTACTTGTTTCCACAGAGAGACTTGAATTTGAGGCAGAGGAGATGGATGGAGTTCATTGAGGACTATGATTTTGAGTTGCACTATCACCTGGGAAAGGCCAATGTTCTGGCCGATGCCCTTAGTAGGAAATCCATTAGTGATGTAGTTTGTATAGCCATCCGGGAATGGGAGATGTTGGGTGCACTTGGCGAGTTTGACTTGCTTCTGAGTGAATCAGCTAAGGCTGCGGCCTTATTTTCTGTTGTTGCGCAGCCTACACTTGTGACCCGAGTGTTAGAGGCACAGAGAAGTGACCTTGAGGTAGAATCCCTCCAAGAGAAGATCTCCAGTGGGAAAGACGAGAAGGGTTTGACGGTGTATCCCGACCAGAGTGTGAGATATCGAGATCGTTTGTTTGTGCCGGAGTCTTGCCGAGAGGAAGTAATCCGAGAGTTTCACCATTCGCGCCTTGCGGTGCATCCAGGAGGCACTAAGATGTATCGTGATCTG